GTGCCCGACGCGGTTCGTCACGTTCCGGGGCTCCGAAGTTCGGGAATGGTGTGCTCTGGTCCCCGCGAAACACGATAAATCCTGCTTTCGGTGCTCGCGTCCAGATAGACGCGATAAAGCGGCGAAATCCAGCGAACTTTCGCCGCTTATCGAACGCGCGGGAAACCGAGGATCGACCGAGGAACGGTCATGATTTATTTCGAGGCTCGCGTGCGTCCGCGAGACGAATTACCGGCGAAACGGAAGAGAAACATCGGGGAATCTTAGATCAAGACTCGTAAACCTCGGCGTGTGGTCGGATTTCCGACGGACTCGCTGGATTATCGATAATCGTTTAATCCTTTGCGCACTCGACGCGTTCCTACGGTTCGATCCGGCAGTGTGAAATTGAAAATACCGATGGAAAATGCGGCGCAGACTTCTTTGCGAAGGTTTCGCGAATTTATTTTGCATCGGGGAACAGTGGGTACCGAACTTAATCGTGGATAATTGAATATATTCATAATACGTGAATTGTTGAATAATATAATATTGGTTTTCGTCAAATATTTGACTATACGAAAGATTCAAGATCATGATGCGATATATTAGTAACGATGAGCTACATTTTGATGAAATATTTGAAGAATTCTTGCTTTCCGTGGATCCGCAGAATTACGAGCAGAGTATGTAAATGATTTACAACATTCTATTTAACGCGCAGCACGTGGCACACTGATAATAAAAACCTTGAATAATAGGATTTTCCATGGATGATGTATTCGGTTAATGAGAGCTGTTCTTTATAATACAGTCAAGAGTAGTTGTAATAGAGAAAGAAGTGCAGCTTCAGCATTCATACACGAAGGGCGTCATGTAATCGCGGTACTATTTTCCGTTCTTTATTAAAGGTAAATTCTGTATTGCAAGCTTCTTCGGTGATTATTTAATTATTGCCGTTCGTTACCGAACGATTTCCTCGCGACAGCAGGTACTCGTCGATACGCGTGGCAATTTCTAATTAACCGGTAGCAATTTCAATGTTACCGTCGACATAAACGCAACAAAACGGTCGAGAATACTTTAATCTTCCATTCTATCTTCGTACAGCCCGATTCGCGGTTTAATCAGCAATATCCGCTGCCTTCCTTCCGCGCCGGCAACACCACCCTTCGACACCAACAGGTCAAAGGCGAGAAGTTCGCTCGCAACGACGGATTTTCTCCCATTATTCTCGCTCGTGCGGCCGTGACATCGTTTAAAAAGTGCCCCGCTAATGGACGCGCGAATGCGTGTGAGCAATTAATCGTCCTTAACCTATGGCGCGTCAGTTTAATTGACAATTTGTCAACGGATCATGCTCGAAGTTAACGAGTAAAATAACCGTACGGTCCGGTGGATTCGTGAACTGCCTGTATCGATAATACTCGAAAGTTTGGTCGATTGGCTTCGCTATGACGCTAACATAATCAATTACGATTATCATTACGAGCTATCATCCGTGACAAGCGAATCCGATCGACGACACAGTAGAGCAGTTACACAGGTAAATGATTTCGTAATTGTTTTCATCCACTGCCTTTCACGATTAAAATTACAAACCGAGTCTAATCCTATAGTTTCCTTTTATCATTTTACTATAAATCATGCTCTAGTACTGTTTTTTCATTGGAAACTGCAGCAGAGTTACGAAGTGTGAACATTCACCTTTCTCCTTTCATTTCCTTCAACCCTTTGAACTCTGTAGGCTCCAATATTGCACCAGTTATGATATTAAATATTTTAATGAATCTTAGAGAAACTACCCTAAAATTAATATATTCTCCACACATCCAAATTTTGTACTCTGAAGGAAAGTGAAAGATCTAAGAAATGTTATAGCATCGTTCATTTTTGCTAGGGATACTATAAAAATTAGTTGCGGTTGCTGATAGATTACAAAACAACCTATAGTGCTAAAGGTTAATTTATAACAGTATTTTATTCGCACTAAAAGTAAGCTTACAGTGAACATAAAATTCCTATCCCCTTTAACGAGCGATTCAAGGTAAACCAGCTCACGAAATTAGCGACCGACTTCACACATTCGAGACCCGAAAACAAGACGCGTCGAGCGACAAGATGGCCGCCGCGACGCATCTGCCGGAATCGCTCGGCGCGACGACTTTTTCTCGAGTCCCGTTTTCCCATTTCCTTCCACGGGACAGCGTTTCCTTCGACCGTCCCGGAAGCGGAAGCGGTCCGACGATTTCCGCCCGTCGAAGAAACAGAAAACGGTGTAATCCTTTAACTGTAATAGGAGAATCGGACACTTCTGGTTTCTCGATCGATTCGCGATCTGTGTCCCGAGACGTTGCCCTTTGATCACGCGATAGGCTGGTCGTCATTAAAGCTAGAAAAAGACGGGGCGGAGGCGAACGAAATAGAACGATGCGCTTTAGCAGCTCGCTAAGTGGCTCTTCTGTGTGTCGCGCGCAAGCTTTCTATCCTGGAATCTGGGGCGAACCGTATAATTTCTAGGCGAAAATGCTCGCACTCGTCGTTCCGTGATTATCGTCTCTGCTTTATCTCTGCTCGCCAGACTTTCGTTCCGCCCTTTTAGCGAATTATTCAGAAGCGGAACGCTTGATATAAAAAGAATCTTTATTCTCATAAAAAGATCCCGCGTGCAGCTTATATTTCTATTTTCATTCGATACGGCTTTACGCCGCCTCGGGAGAATAACAAAATATCGGCGTAAAATGCGGAATAATAAACAGGCGATGTCAGCCCTAAGGCCGTTATAAAACCCAACTATAAATCCGAGCCGTATATGTTGCACTACCATTGAAAGTTTAATGTCCAGTTGAAAGCCGTCCATGTAAACGTCACTTTTTTATATCGTGTAACAGAAATGTACTTTTAACGGCAACAGTGGAACGTGACTGATTGTCAATCTAGTTGCTACTGATTCATACACGTAGAATTCAATGCTATGCTCTGTTACAAACGAAACCGATTAGAATAACTACTAAGACACGAATCAAATTTCGGTTTCTCTTAAATATTCTATATATTAAAAATATTATAAGACAGAAATATTGATAACTATCTTTCTCAACTCTTTCCAAATTTGAAGTTACGTCAAATACGACTATGAATAGAATTTTCGAGTTGCCTCGCGATTGTAAACGTGACAAAGCTCGGTTCAAATGGCGAACGAGTCTTTGTGCGCGACAACGAGTGAACACAGCAATCGGTGAAAAATGATCGGTGAACAACAAACAAGATACCGAGATTACTGGCGCGATCGAACGGTTTGCACGGCAGAGCGGCACGAGCAATATTTGTGATTTGTTACGCGCAGCGAGGGCTCCGTAATTACCCCATCCCCGTAAATGCGCAGCTGTAAACTGCGAATTGTAATCGCCGCTGATGGAGCCCGCGGAGATAAACATGGCGCGTGATTGGCGAAGTTATTTGCACGTTACGCGGCTGACCGTTTAGCTTTTCGCGCGGAACGAAGCGCGGACAAAAGCGGCGGCCGCTTTCAAACGAATATCAACAGGTTCGTCTTCGCAATCGTGTGTTCCGCGACGCGGTTGCGTTTCGCGTGGACCCGGCTCGATCGCGAACGCAGCCGAACGGGAAAGAAGCTCCCGGTGTTTACGAATAAAAAACGGAATTCGATTTTCCCGGAGTAAAATGCACAGCAGAGTGGAAGTTGTCAAGTCGCGTGACATATTGGAGGGAAAATGGCATGCCGCGTCAGTACGTGCGGTTAAGCGGACGTCCGTTTATATACATTAGCGCCGTGATGTCGACAGGTGGTGTCCCTCGCGCGTTTCGCACCCTTTCCATTAGCCGTTATTAACACTGAACAGCGATAGTAATAAGAGATCGAGAATTCATTGTCGTCCTCGATATTCCGGCTCGATGATGGACGTGCAGTAGGGAAGGTCCAATTCGGTTCACTTCGAGGCAATCAGTATGTACTGACCCATCGACGCACGAACATTTCGAGAACTAGAGAACGATTCTTCTTACTTTCAACCATTCTACTCGAGGAACGTAGGAGGTACAGCCGATCTAATGTCAAAAAACACTGAAATAAAACAATGGTAATACGCAAACGAAAAATACTAAAATAACAAAACTGTGACAAGGAAGAAGCGAACACTAAAATAACAAAACTGTGACAATGCAGAAGCAAGCACTAAAATAACAAAACTGTGACAATGCAGAAGCAAGCACTAAAATAACAAAACTATGATAAAACAGAAATAAAATACTAAAATACCAAGACGATAATTTAAAAATGAAAAAGCACTAGACCAACGAAAGAAACCGTACAACTCTCCTCCGTTAAAACCATTCAAACTAAAGCAAGCGCAAAAGATTCCCCATTAGAAACGACAGAGTCGCGCGACAGTAGTTCCAGCAACTACACCAGTTTCCAAAGAAGGGACACCCGGACAATTATCGGACGAAGATTCCTCGCTGTCGTTGTTTCCCGTATTTCCCCGGCGTGAGCCATTAATTCCATCGCGACGAACCGTCGTCGGCACGGGGCCCCGTCCGCGTGGACCGGATCCGTGAGTCGAAACTCGCGGAGAACGTTCCCCAGGGCGGTATCAATCCCAATTCTATTTCCCGCGAAAGTCCGGCCGTCGCGCGGCACCTTCGCAGTCCGGGAACGACCGATAAATAATAGACGCTCGCGTCGCTATTATTCCCACGGCGACGTTTTTCTTCGCGCGAGGCTCCGCCGGCGCGTCGTCGCAATAATCGGGCGACGCGGCCGAGGAGGCCGGCCGTCCTCTCGGCGAAACGACGGAAGAAAGAGCTTTCCGCCATTCAACGGGCCGGCCCGGCCCGGCCGGATATTCCATTTTCACCGAAATAAAAGAATCCCGTCCCCCGGCGATGATTTATGCCCCCGACCCTCGATCCCATTAAACCCCCGCGCGCGGAGGCCGCCGCCGCCGCCGCTGGGAACAATTCGATGATATCCCCTCTTTTCGCTCTTTGTCTGTTTCCAGGTGTTCGACAAGCGTAATCGCGGATACATTACCGCGTCCGACCTGCGAGCTGTCCTGCAGTGCCTCGGGGAGGACCTGTCCGAGGAGGAAAGTAAGTATTCCATTCCGATCGTCCGTGACCGACGCATGAGATTTGTTTTCTGCGATCGGGGTAGGTTCGATGTTACAGCGGTACTATAGTGTGGATAATGAAAAGGTGGATCTTGAGTAATAGAGAGTTAGGAATAAATATATCGTAGGAGAAAGAGAATTTTATTAGGAACAGTACGATTATTTCTTGATAACTCACAATAAAATACTAACTCAATCAACGCGCACGCTATTTATATACTCAGATGCTCTTGTCTCACTCATACACTTTCACATTCTTTCATTACCATGTAACTTCACGTATATTTGGAATATTCTAGATTCATAAAAAAATGAACATTATTAATGTATAGAGAAAATCAATATAATCTAGAATATTCCAATGCTTTGAACATTCATTCAAAACGCGCTCAGACGCTCAGTCGCGTCATTGATCTATTACACACACATTCATCACTCAAATCATCCATTCCCACAATATGTATATAATAAAATATGGAAACACGTAGAAAGTACAACTTCATGCCACGGAGGCCATCACACGACTCTGCTCCCACAACTCTCTTACATTCTCTCTCAAAAATCATTCTCTCCCCACAAGCATTCTTCTCACTCGCACTCATGACAAACACTCGGACGCACCCCTGGAAAACTGGCCCTGCAATCTTGGGGCGACGTTCGACCGTTTTACAAGCTGTCCTTCACTCACACTCATTCTGACATTCACTCTTCTTAAAATTGCCTTAACCTGCGCTAAAAATTCTAGATACTACAATATGCTACAGTGGTCTTCGGAAGTTCCAGATCGTTTGTGGTTAACCAGTTAACTGTGGAATTTTGATGGAAACCTCTGGCTCTGCGCGCAATAAAATCGAAAAATGGAGCGTGTACTCGCCGAACGCAGGACGAATGCTCGTAGAGTATATTTGAATGAAAGATCAAAGCAGAGAAGAATTACATGTTTGTGTGAAAAAGTAAAGAATTCATCGCTGAAAGAATTAGTATCGTGTCAAGCTTTACGTGTATACTCGTCAAACACAGTTAACTGGTTAAGATGTTCGCTATATTTTACAGAATGAAAATGAAATTAATCTTATAGACATTAGGTTCGATGCTCTCACGGCCTGGAATATTACATTCATAAGTGGCTCTCGGGTGAGAGCCAATAAGAATTTGTCTCTGAATGGATCTCTGATCGCTGCGTTATCTGAATTTGGTTGACCACTGTTTGTATCAGTTTATAGATTCATTTTCTTCGCGATGGATCGAAGGAATCGAATTTTGTTGGATTGCGAGATACAAGGACAATAGGGTAGACTATAGAGAATCTTGATATATTAGTTGCTACTTTGTTAATAGAACTGTTTCAATCCTAGGATTTGATTGTTCGTTCGTCAACGCGTTGAAATATTGGATTCCTCAATTTCAAAATTTCCAAAATTCTACTAATGCTGCACGTTGGTCGAAAACTGTCGAAAATCTTCCCTGACAAAACCAAAGAAGACAGGGTCTTAAGTCCCGTGAGCTCAGGGACAACAGCGATTCAGTATTCAAAGTGTTAATAATCCCCGATGAATGTTGCATGACGCTGTTTTCCGAGTTCCTAACTGAGCGCGATGAATCTCGCCGGCACATAATCATATTTACTCGACGTTTTACGCGGCAGCTATGCAAATCGCCGAGCCGAAGGAAAATATTTAGCTGACGTTCAGTTGTTTACGCGCGCCGATGCGTTTCTTTGAGTGTTTAATCATCAGGATCGACGAGGACTTACGCGTAACGAGCTTTTAATTTGAATTTTCTGTTCCCGAGCGCGACGAGATTGCGCCCGATAGTTTCCTAATTTAATGAAACAAGAGCAATCGGTTCCGCCGGAGCCAGCTCGTCGTTTGCAAGCTGACGAACGTCGAAGGGAAACGGGTCGGTAGGACGAGTGAAACGAAAACGAGCCGTGAAACGCGACGAAAGTTTCGCGCGCGACGCCGGTCTCGTCCCGATCGACGGAGCCCGTGCATTCCCGCGACGGATCGACTCGAATTTTATTTATTCCAAGAACACGCCGAGCGAATCGCGAAACTTCGATCGTAGAATATTTCCGGGCGGCAGTACAGTTTCGAAATTCCTCGATTTAATTACACCTATTTCAATGATACAATACATTTACACAGTTCCTCGCTCACATTTGAAATTTTCCAATTTCCTGTACCGCGGAAATTCTGCGAGGAAACCTCAGATGAAAGGCTAACAGGATAACGAACACGATCAATCTTAACACATCGAACGCCGGCTAAATTTCTGCTACTAAAACCGCGAGCGTCGGTGATTATATTGATACACTTTTAAACATCGATCAAACGAAAATTTCTAACTTACAGAAGAGTATAAGGAATTCGATTTCGTAAATTTTATTTTCGATTTGTGTTGTACATGCCTAAAATGTTACATGAACGTAGGATTAGCAATTAAACGACTAAAAACCCCGCATTATCGCGGGGCCGGCGCGCAACGTGTTAAATCACTTTCCACTTTATTAAATGGAGTATGATTTAGTGAGACTTATAAATCATCTTTCATTTATTGTACAGTTTATTCTATTGTTCCTGGGGAAGTTAATATTCGTACATTTAGATTTTGGAAATTGTAGATGTAGAAATACAATCAGGATTCATATTCGTGTAATTGGATCAACGAAAACCGATTAAAACATTTACCAAATAATGTTTATAAAATTCTATCTGCGTCAAATTGACGCGTTCCGTAAACCTAGTGTTGACAGACAGCTAAACTATCTTGCCCACATCGTTAAGAAGCCGACGCTGCGCAAATTTTTGAGAAAATTTCGAATACACGAAATGGCGAGTCGCTTTTCTATCGAAGATTTCCATAACTTGTCCGTAAGAATCCGGGTAAAATCTGGAGCGGTGGCAGATACGCTAAGACCGGAGCTTCCAGCTACGAGGAAATATGGCGAAAGGAATGCGCCGTTTTTGAATGGCAACGCGGCGATCCTAATTTTCTCTTAGCTTACAGCGATCGGAAGAAACAGCGCGAGACTGGGAGTGTTATTACACCGGGCGGGAACGGATTCCGTACGGGGCAAAAGGTTTATGCCCGGTTCTTCTCGTTTGCTCAGCGTTATCCTGCAGGATTTGGCGTGCTTTCCTCGTTTAATATTATTCGACGCGTTATTACGGACTTCCGCGAGCCGTGATTCCCTCGATCCACAGCCGAGCAGCACGATCGTCGTTCCCGCCAGATTCCAACGTGTCACCCGGAGTAAGACACGTGGATGAACAGCGCAGGGAAAGGCTGACTCGACGCTCGCGCTGACTCTCGTTCTTTCCTTGTCTCTGGCGGACACGGTAATCTGGGGAATTCCTGTGCAATTTAACACATTGAGCGCCGGCCCCGCGATAATTCGAGATTTTTAGTCTATCGTTTAATTGTTAATCCTACGTTCATGTAACATTTTAGATATGTATAACACAAATTCAAACCAAAATGACAAAATCGAATTCCTTATTCTTCTTCGCAAGTTACAATTCAGTTTGCGTATTGATAAATCGATTTCTTTAATAATTTCTCAGAGAAACATCTGTCCTTTTAATCATTGCACACAGTAGAAATTAGTGGGTCGTCTTGACTGATATTTTTAGTATTAACACGTTCGCTATTAGTTTGTTTCAGTGGCGATCCTCTTAATTATATTTCATTTAATTCGATGAATCTTCTAAACTAACTATTGAAACAAATGAAGCTAAAAGGAGTCATTGAATCCCTAAATATAATATCATAGCTTATAACTTTAACACGTTCCGTGCCACGGAAATTTCAGTCATATTTTGCTTATGAACCGTACTGATTTTTTAAATAAAATATTGTTATATTCAGGTTTTTCTTAATTTTATATATTTTGATATCGTTTCTTGATGTTTTCGGTGCTTCGTAACGTATACAGCTATTTTTGACCATGTGTCCCCTAAAAATATTTTGTTACAAAAAGTAACGTGTACCACATGTGGTACACGTGGCACTGAATGTGTTAACTATATCTATAGGATTAATTCCATTTTCTTTGTATAAAATATAGGATTGCTGCTGTCACAAATGTGACTGATGTCGGATAGAAGATGTCGAATAAAAATACTCAGTAACATAAGCAGATAGTTCTATGAAATTTTGACTTACATTAGATTCAAGAAGATTCGTGTCGTACCTGTTGTATCCGATAATCGAAGACAAGACACCACGCCACGCGGTATCATAGCAAAATAAATATCATTACACCTCGCTCGAGGTGTTTCTTTATTCTCGTTAAAGTATCGGGTTTAACCATTACGTCGATAAACCAGGATCGTTCTCGGTGTACAATAATGCAGGTGCCAGCGTCCGATATCAAACATACCGCAGCGATTTCCATTGTTTTCCTTCGATATTATTTCCAGCATTCCACGGAATATCAGATATTATTTTCAGAGATTCGAATAGGAAGAAAATCAACGAGCTCGTTAAAATCACAAAAGCCAGCCATTAAAATGCATTGACAGAAGAAACGCCGAGCAATACACTCGGATGACCCAGTTACTGAAAAAGGAACGTAAATAACTCAAGTATCGTTACTAAAAGTTTTCAGGATATTTTTTTACGCGACACCTATGAATTCACCAATGAATCATCAACGAATAATCGCCAAGTATATTTCACCGCATCTTCCGCGCGAACGTTCACCCTCAGCAGTCCTGTGTCGAGTCAGACTCGACGTTCTATTTTATTGCAACCTCTACCTGTTTTAACAATTTTTTCTATATTTATTTGTAGTATCACAATTGTACCATTTAAAGGTAACATTTCAGTGACTCCCAAATATTCTCGAATAAATGAATAGAGCGTCATATTCAGCTGTAATTGAATGAACTAACGTCGACGTGAACCTCAAAGTCAGAAACCAAGAGGTTAAAGGGGTTAAAGAAGATTTTCGGCCGCAAGTTTCTTTCCCCGGGATTACGCGGATCAGACGATTGGATGAGCCCGGCAACGAAATTAACCCTCGCGAACGAGCCGGTAAAATGGCGGTCGGTCGTCGCAAAACAACAACGAGTTTTCCCGGCAGGTCTCGACGCGGACAATCGGGCCGCCACCTCGTGCAAATTTACCCGCGCCGAGCTAATAGCTCCGACACGGTCGCGCGTGCGCCCTCCCGTGAGACGGTAAATTGCGTTTCCCCGTATTGAACTCCATCTAGAGTGACCAACGTAATAATACGTCGGTGCATGGGATGAGGTCACTAATTGGCCGGAATCAATTTGTACTGTACACGTATTTCTGTCCGTATTAATAATTGCCACGGGGTATCAAACAGATTACGATAATGGTTTGCAACGGCCTAGGAGATCGCCGATTGCGCGGCACTGCTGCGCGGAGAAAAAACTTGTTAATCTATTAAACGACTGCCCCGTCGAGTCGCATACGTGGAACGCAATTAATTGGAAAATAACGTTTTAACGAATTCATTCAATCTTCCATTTTTCTTTTCGATATTCGAACATCGTTTTTTATAGTGATTCTTCTATGGAGTTTTATCTTTTGAGAATTAGTGGATGAAGGTGGCACGTAATTCGTCAGTTTATTGAATTATAGATTGTAATAGTTGATACGCTTTTATCGAAGGATTTTTAATTAGATTCTTGTTACTATGGATTTGCTAGGATTCTTTTGATAAGTGAATTCGTCGCGTGTTAATAACGTGTGAACAGGTTTAATACGTTTTATCGCGTCGGTCACTGTTTATGAAGTTTTAACAACATTTCATCGAACTTTGCCTAACACTTTCCCTGGCAGACCGTTTTTACGCGACTCGCATACGACGCTCGCACCGTGGTACTAATAAAATTCTCGTAATTAGTTCGTTCATGGTTTTGAGTGTACTAGACAGTTAATTAATCAAGTTTTGTTCTACTCATCAGAATTTCTTTTTGAAAATTGCTCTTCACCCTTTTTGATTCCCTTCTGTGTTCTATCACCGATGGGTCATCGGTTCTAAAGCATCCGTTACATTTTCGATACTGGAATTCGCGCGGACCATTCGAAATTCGATTTCTCACAGTCATTTCGTGAAAACGAACGACTCGCGATATTGTTGCAATCGATTTGTCTATTTTCCTACCTCAACGTTCGTCGGCGATTTTTGTAGAGCTTCGAACGTCAAACACGAATGCGAAATTCGTTTTTCTTCGTCACTTACAGATTTTTCATATAAAAGGGAAAACTGATTTCGCAATTTTAAACAGTTTTCACGTTTCAATCGTCGACTTACGCAAACGATTGCCACGGAAAATGATCCCGTAAGCCCTCTGCAAATAAGCCGACTCCGAAACGTGCTAGACACCATCTGTGCAACAATTTTTTCGGACATTTTTCAGTTTACATTGTGCTGAGAGAAGTGTCGACCGACCGTCCACGACGCTGACAGCATTTTATTCTCTCAATTGAAAACAAACCTGGGTTATAGTTTTCTGTGACAGCCTCTATACGAGATTAAGCTATATGCAAAACCAGTGCTTCACAAAATGAAAAATATAAAATATTAAAAGTTCCTCAAACACATCTAAATATCTAGAACGCACAACTTTCGGAAGTTCATTCGAAATGAACGCGACACTTTAAAACTGGAAATTTAATTCCTTAAAAAATCGAATCTGATCGAGAGAACAATCAGTAGAGTACTCCGAACGTTATTTATTTATACTGGTCATTATTTATTAATTCCGAAATGGGCTACGTGAATTTCGAATTCGGACCTCGTCCGACGCGATGGCGGTAGATCTAAAAGAAAACTGGTCCGCCAATGACTTGTTCTCGAAATGCAGGGGAAGTTGCCGAGTTCTTTCGCAGCCCCAGGGCTGGTCGTGATTGGAATTAACGCGAAGTTGGAGGATCGGAAAAGCGAAGAACTAATTGGTCCCGATCTAGCGGATCCTCCGCGAGTTCACTAGAATGGGGAAACAGGTTTGGACAGCCGGTGTCAGTCCTAGAGTTCCGTTTGAAATGGAAATTAATAGGAAGTCGATAGCTGCAGAGGCGCAAATTAGCTGTAAATGTAAACACCATTCACACGGAACCCGAAACTTCGCTGCGGGTCGCGACCCCCGTTAATGCCGTAACGATCTCAATTATTGAGAATTAAATTGAACAGCGAGAAACGAACGGGTTTTCATGAAAACGGCAAACGATGCCGCCCTAAAAGCCTGACAATCGGCATTAAAATCGAAGTTTAATGGTCCGTCGCGCGGAGACGAAATAAACGATTCCGATTATAAACTGTGACACGGATAATCCTTTTGCTTTCGAATACTAGTTACTTCGCTTCGCTGTTCACTTTTGCGTTTGGCAACCAAAGTGTCTCCGTTCATACAAATTTCAGTATCGCAACCTTTTTGCGTGAATTCGTCACTTTCGAAGGAAAAAGGTAATAGTGTTGAAGGAATGAATATAAAGTAATCTCGTTCGCATGAGAACAAAAGAAATTTGAGAGGAAGTTTCAAAATTTGTACTCGACCGACGAGATAAAATGTAGCTCGCGATGGAGACTCTTAACACGTTGCTATGGCAGTCACTGATGATTAACACTTGAAAAGTGTTGCAAGTGGATTACAATAATAATATTACTATTATAAAACGTTTAATAACGTAAGTTGATAACAGTGTGATACAACGATCGTGATACTAAATAGTTGACCCTTTGCAGACGAAGACTCATTAAAGTACAGAAAACCCAGCAGATGCTTAAAAATTAGAGAAAAAGAAACAACGTACTGATCCTTTGTTGTTTAGCAATTAAATCGTTTGTGTGCAACTTAGTATTCCAAATATGAAATTTTGATCTCAAATTGTCGACATTCATCACCAAAGGGTTAATGATCATTTCTACTTATCTTCGAAAAGAACAAGTGCTCCGTAAAACGCTCAAGATTTCTACGGCAGTTACCACGTTAAACGCGTTCCCATCCATCCCTGCACGCATTCATTGATCACCGACAGTCGTGATACCAATTACCGCTAATTCCGAATCGAAAAACCAATTTTCCGGGTTTTCCGCGCCGAACATCCCCGCGAGGGAACGCAAAAATCAGCCGTCCTTGGCGGCGCGACGGGAACAATCATTCCCCAGCGTTCCGCGGCGTGCGCGGGCGTCATCGAATTTACGCGACGGAATTATCGGGCTTCCCCGCGCGAGAAAAATTGTAACGCGGGAAATTAATACCGTGCGCGATGTTTCGCGCGGCGAGTCGCGGCCGAGCTTAAAAATTAAATTGCACGCCCGTCGTGTCGATTAGCATACGATCTCGTCCATGGATGATTTTCATCGGGCCAAATGCAATATTTGCCGTGTCAGCGTACGCCTACGACGAACGCGCCGCAGTAATGGCGACGGTATTAATTCCTACCTTCCATCCCTGACCAGCTCATCGGCGAAATCAAAAATAATTAGCCGGTGTTACCTCGAGGCTCGCGAGATCTCTTCGAATCCGCGCGGAACCGGGACGGGCGATAACTTCGTTACCGCGCGAAACGAAAACGTGAAATTTCAGGTAAACTGCGGATGTCCACGCAGACGTGGCGCGGTATAAGTTCGGGGGGCCGGAAACGAGGCGGAAATTCGTGCGGCGAGTTCCTAGGTTCTATTGGACACTGGACGCACCAGGAGTTTCGCGTTTTGGATTCAATGTAATTATACTTCGCAATGTCGTCTACACTCTGCTTAGACATTCTCGCGAGTCCCTAGGTTCTATCGAATACTGAACGAACCGGGAGTCTAACGATTTTCGGATTCGGTATAGTCCTTCGCAATGATATTCAGCTTCTGTCTATAATAAAATACAATGTAGCAGATATAATTAAAACAGCTGCGGGACAATCTGTATTTAAATTCGCGGCGAATTATCCGCACTCGTTGCACCGAAGGGAGCGTCCCCTTTCTTGTCGCATCCGTTTCATCCTTCTCGTTCACCGGTTTCGAGCGAGTGATATATTCCGCTGAATGATTGTGTACGAAGGTTCCGCCGGTGTGCGCCGGAGTCGCGTGCAACTGTGGCGGTGTCGCTGGAAAAAGGGCTGACCGAGGGGCCAGACAGAGCCCGAGCGTAACCCGACTAACCGTAATGGTTTCCTCGCTGGTCAGCCGGAGGATTTACCAGCGATACCGTTTAAACTCGACGAAATATATGATGTAAGCCGCTTTCACTGTGTTTCAGTCGAGGATATGATCAAGGAAGTGGACGTGGACGGGGACGGACGGATCGATTTCTACGGTAAGCCGCTGCTCCGTGTTCGCTCTCCATTTATACCCCCCGCCCGTCGTCCTCCGCCCCTCGAGAGTTTCTAATAATCGGAGAAAAATATGATCGGACCGGAGGAAGGGGAGAATTCCCTGGTACCTGTTTGCTGGATCGCGACCCTTCTAGCTGTTTCACCCGGAATTGATCGACGTCTAGCCGGCCGGGGGTTGGAATGGAATTGGAGGGAGGACGCGATGGTATTTCGCTGCTGAGGATCACCATGCCCGAGTTTCCCCGTACGCGGGCCCGAAACGTTGTGACCCGCTTCTGGCGACCTCGGCCATGAAACTTACGGCGGGGAACACCGATGAAAAACCGAGAAGCACCCCTTCTATTGCTCGCTGCGATATTTTCCTTCGTGTTACCTTGTTATTTTTCAAATCTATGATTCGAATCGGGTTGATACTTTTTACGTCTATTTGCAACTGAAGATCTTTGATAAACTTATTTGATCTTGTTCGGAAGAATCCAGGTAGAATCTGGAGCTTCGAGCTACGAGGAAATATGGCGAAAGAATGGCCGTTTTTAAATGGCAACGCAGCGATCCTAATTTTCTCTTAGCTTACAGCGATGTTGAACTTATTTGATATCTTTGCAGTGTAGCTGTCAAATGATTCATAGTAAATGGTAAATGATTTAATCAAGCAACGGAAGTATAGCTGCAGAATGAATCTTTGTAATGTGCTAAGAAGATGATCGTCTAATGGGGAATCCGATTGTTCCAGAGTTCGCGCACGCGCTCGGCGAGCCAGGCATCGACGACGACGAAGAGGACGAGGACGAGGAGGTGCAGTCCCCGGGCTACTAGAATTTTACCTATTCTCGTCTCTGTGTTAGATAGAACGAATTAACGATGAGCCGACGGCGACGAACGGCCGTCCGTTCACCGTTTCCTCCTCTGACATTCACCGTCGCGAGCGCAGCGGACGAAGATACTCATCCTGGCCGGCAACTCGAATTCCCGGATCCGCCGTTGCACGCGTGAACAGACGGAAATGGGAGCGAGGGAACCGGGAATACTCGGAATTCGCGGTGACGCGGAAAATGGTTGCGCGTCCCGGCAACAGGGCGCGCCACCCTATGACACCGCGGCGAGGTCACGGCGCGCGACTGTCTGTTCCTTCTTTTTAAAGCTCTATTTTGGCTAAACCGCGACTTCGGTAAATGTCAGAGGACCGTTTTCGACAAGCCCTAATTCTCACCTACCGTAACGTCTGCATAGATACAATGCCCGCTGCGATTCTATGTTACCCGACGTCGACGCTTCGAACACGGAGACTGTACTTCGCGAGCGAGTCTTTCGAATTTCCTCCGAGACACCGAATCAGGAAAATTTGATCTTTATATCACCCGGCAGTAGTTCTTAGAACAGATACAGATGTTGTTAAAGAATATTTATCACATGAAAATTCGTGGAACTATCGTCGACCATAAATATGTCTCCGTTCTCCTAACGGAGCTTCCTCCGTTGGTCCACAAAATCTTAAATAAAAGATGGAGAAAGTTTACCAGCCTCCGGGCGGTCCGCTACACCGTGTCCGATGAATAATACAAATTTGACCTCTCGCGCGTGATTGCATGCGCTCGCGGAACGACGCGACGTCGGGTCTCCTCGCGTAACGTAATGTCTCAGCCGGCGAGGCGTCTATCTTCCTTTCTTAACTCTGCAGAAAAGTATCTACCGATAAATCTTCGTGAACCGTTCTCAATGGCTTACGTGGTGTAAGGAGCGAGTAATCGGCGAGAGGGCAGAGGGGACGGAGGAGGAAGTAATTAACGAGCGAAACGATTCGGTACTCGCCGACGAACGATTCGCCAGCGAATCGATCGGTCTCGAACGTCAGCGTTGGATCGTCTCGTTCATGGGACATTGTTCCCCTTCCTACCGATTTGTCCCTTGTTCGCTCTCGCCGCGACTCCTCGTCTTGATCTCTCGATGTACACGCGACACGATCGTAACCGATTTTCTTCTAAGATATGTGGATTTTTGCGATTTTTCTCTCGTCTCTAATTATAGAAACAAAAAGCATTGTTATCCACCTAAAGCGTAACCGTAAGAACCGTAAACAGAAGCACCGCAGCAAAGGAATTCCGGATCGATCGACAACGGACGCGACGCCGGACGATCGATCGACGAGGGCGGACTGGATGCCTCGCACGAACCGGACGACGATCGTCGACGATCGGATGCGAACGACGCTACCGTTCGCGCCTCGGGATACACGTTCCCCGATGGAATGGCCGTCGGACGTCCTCTCCCGCCCCAGAAACCCCTATTTTGTCAGCCGACTCTAGGCCCGGGAACGCGGACGACCGCGCGACCTCGTCGGGGGCCTCGTTCGCGGGGGCGTTGAAGTGGAAATTTTAAATCGATCTTGATCGCTTCGCTCTCCTCGAGCTTCGTACTTGTGTACCTTATTAAACGATACTTCACTGTTACGCCAAATAACAAAAAGCCGCACGCTGTTTCAAGAATATTTTAAAGGGTCTAATAAATCTAATAAACTAACGTTTCTCCGTGGTACCCGCGCTTACGATCTCCCCGATCCGTCCCGATCCTCGGAGCAGAATTATCAATGTGAACTGTACTGCTTGGACGCACTCAGTCAACCGCCGCTAATCGATTTTACGCGTTCGTAGCTTACAAAGAAGAATAATACAGAGACTTCGATAACAGTTTCTTTCTCTCGTGTTATTTTTACCCTGCTGAAACTGTGACGGAGTCACATGTACCCGGTGGAGCTAAGGAATCGATACTCCGACGATATTCGTCTGCGAGGACGCATTATCCTCGTAACGTTTTCGTTCGGAACTTCACCGGAGAATTCGTGAGAACGACGGTTCCGTGTAGTAGTTGCTCAATGCTCGAGTTCGCGTTAGGGATACGCTGCGAGTAAGGAAATTTAATTTAAAACGGGAACGATAAGGAAAACGCGTTCAATTTCTCTTGAGAAAGGAGGAGTTTTCCAATCAGAAAGTTTCTTTAAATATGAGAATCGATCTCCTTCCGCCAGCTGCGTCAGCGTCGAGAGAAACATCGGATTCTAGGGAATCACGTAGCTAGTAAGGAGAAAGCTTGCCCGGAATCGTGGAGGATAGGTTGGCGTCGTTCACAGGATGTTTCTTAAACGTTCAGTTTTTATTAGCGATAAATAAACTTACATATCTTTACAGTAACAACATCCTCTCGTAACTCTCGGAAAATATGGTAATATCTATCCGCGTAAATACAATATAGATCAAGACTTCCATTCTGTTGTGTTCGTATCATCTTATTGTTGCTGCTTATGTATGTATGTTTTTTTTTG